ACACACACACACACCCCGAGCACACGCAGAGCCTCCTCTGTTTCCTGTGCTCCCACTGGCAGCTTGAAATAAGGCACAGCACTGCCATGTTCTCAATGCCTGGAAGAATGGGAAGGTAAAAATTGCGTCCTCTTGTAATAAACATTATTTAAATATGGGTTAAGTTTTGTTATAGTCCTGCCCGTGTTTTACTTTAAAAAAACATACAGCAAAATATATTTATTTTAATATTAGAGATTAAGTGAATAAGGCATTCACCCCTAAAATTTAAGTGAAACTCACAGGAGACTTGGCATTTAGCTGGCAGTACATTCAGTTATCATTCACATCTGCGGAACTCACTTGACTAGTTCAAGCAAATGAATGAGCCACTCCTGACTCCAGATTTTTAAGGTCTTCAAGATCAACACACATTCCCTGGGATCTTGAGAGAAATATTATTTGTAATATGTTCATGGTGATCTTTGTCAGTTCAATTATTGTGTTTATCCTTCTCTATACCTGCCCTTGGATTTAGCCTAGTTTGTTCCACCCCTCTCCTGCCCAGGAATCTCATGTTGCTTCCTGGGTGTTGGTAAGTCCTCTCAGGGAGCCCACCTCCCCTAACTTCACCCTTCCATCCATTCTCCACACACAGCTCACCCTGAATGTCAAGTGCTTGGTTCAGTCACCACCCTAAGAGCAAGAACTGATAAAATCCAAGTACCTGATCTTCCAGCAACACACAGCAAAAAAAGAGGACAAAGTAATACAGACTCTATAGTTAGTCACTTCCATTATAGCACTTAAAACCTGTCTGTCTGTCCAGTTAATTACTCTGGGTCAGCCACACATACTATTCAACTCTACATTCCACTGTAGAGCATGAATGTAGAGCATGGTCTCTGCTAACATCTGTAGGTCTAAGTAGAAGGTATTTACTAAGTACCAGGGTTTTCTGGCTCAATTTTGTCAAACATGCTGTCTTGTGCCCATAAGCTGGCACGGTGAGCTATGCATTGCAACCCAAAGAATCTTCTGGGTTTGTGATGTACAGCACTAGCATGTGGCCGGAGAGGGTGATGCTGTGCATGACAAACCCAAAGGGTCCTTTCTTGGCTTCTCCATGTCTGGCCTATGCAGAACCAGCTTTCTCTGGCTTCCACAAAATCAGCTCAATGTCCAGATTGGGCAAGACCTGAGCTAGGAATGTTGGGAGGACATGAACACATCTCATCAGAGGAGACTGAATGAACACGTCAGAGGAGTGTCAGAGGAGGACATGAACACGTCAGTCAGAATGGAGGCAGCAGGAAGAGTATGAGCCAATGTCTTTGTGGGATGTTTCAACAGTTCTCTAACTTGCAGAGGTCACAGTGGACATCCTCAAGGAAACCTCACCCTTTCTCCTGGAGAAGACACTTAGAAGTCCAATTAGAAAAGACCCAGTGTTCTTTTCTAGCTGGAGACCAAAAAGGAGCTAGCATCATTCCTGGCTAAATTAATTTCAATTCAGTTTTCATTTCCTTTTCACATTTCTTAGCTCAGAAATGGAGCACAAGTTCTCCAAAAACATCAGAGAAAAGATGTTGCCCAGAGTCCAAGGCCTGGATGCCTCTTGGGTCACAAGCTCCTATTAGTTGCCCTATCTAGTTTCTTTATGCCTGAATAGATTACAGACTCTACATCTCTGTCTCTCTCATCAATCATTCCAAGTGCTAGCAGGTGACATCTGGATGCATCAATCACTCAGAGCCATTGCAGAGCGAAAAGGACCTGACACCCAAAATCTCTGACCTTGGGCTAGAGGATACCCACACAAGTGTATTTCAATATCCTCACATCCTTGCTTCACCTCTTGCCTCTGGCCTCCCCACACTGTCAGTCTAAGGATAAGGTCAGCATCTTCTTTGTCCTTGACTCTCCTTTGCCCAGCACAGTGTGTACTACCATCGCAGTATAAATGGCTTGAAAGAATGAGTGATTTTTATGAATGAGTGAAAACCAAGGATGACAGAGCTACAAGAATAAGACACACATATTTGAACTGGAATGGGGTTTCTTGGATTCCTTGCTTCTCAAAATTCTTGACATCTGTCAGAGAGATGCAAAGGGACTGGGATTGAAGAATGTCAGAAGTTGTCCCCTAAATAAGACTTACCATCTTCACCCATCCCAATCACTCCATACATTTCCTGACTGTAAATCAAAATAAGAACACTGTTTCAAGATTTGATTCCTCAGTTAAGTCAGAATACCTCAACACAAGCTACTTTCTACTTCTCTACTCTTCTTTGCTCAAGAATTTTTCCTAAGTTGTGAATTCCAAGTCATAAGCTCTGAAATAAATAGGGGGAGAATCATTTTTTAAGTTGATGAAGCCACATGCAATTATTTGCCTTTTTTCTTCCTCTGGAGTTACTAAACTTTCCCCCTGCCACAAGAGATCCTAAAAAGCAAAACTAGAAGTAGCATCAAGACCCCCTCCCCAAGAGTCTCCAAAGTGTCTAATCAAATATCTTTCCTCAGTGTCCACCTGCAACCCCTTTCCTGAGAACCTCAGCTCCAGAGGCTGCCATAGCTTCAGCTGTGAGGGGGATATTGAGATCTAGCTAAAGACCTTAGCAATGCATCCTTCAAGTTAACATGGAAAGTATATGTCTATCTCTTCCATTTTTCCATTTTCCTTAAGAGTAACTCAGCTGCTTGCTGTGGAATACAATTGTTATGGGAGAGCTGGAAAGACAGAACTGAGAAGGAACTTAGTTGCAGGCAAAAGGAGATGGATTTTGTGTTTGTTGATTCCTTCTTGATAGCTGATCTGGAATGTTCAAAATGTCCAAGGAGCTCAGCCTGAGATCCGGTACTATAGGCTGATCCAGTAATACAACTGTAATGACTAAGCCATGGGGTTCTCCCAAGACCAGTCTCTGTATATCCTTGAGGTCTCAGAACCACAGGAAGTCAAGACTCCTCATGATGGCACTCCTCATGGGTGACTCTCAGGGAGTTGTCCTGGCTATGGGGATGTGACAAGGCCATGACCGTATGGCTGTGCTCTGTCATCACAGGTGACTGCTCTGAGCATGGGGCCTGTGGAGCCCCTGAGCTCATGAGGAAAAGGAGGGGTGAGAGAGGAGCAACTCATCAAGGTGAAGGTGAAATTAATGAGCTCCATCGCCTGGTGAAGTTTTCCAAGACAGGTAGGTAGGTAGGGATGGGGCTAGGGCAGAGCCTGATATCCACTGGTGTTACATGAAGGGCAGAGAAACTGTCCATTGATAGTCATTGACAAAAATGTTTATATCCTTTAAAACTATCCCAAAGTATATTGTGTTATTTTTTCAACTAATGCCCCCCCACCTCATTCCTCTGCTACCCCAGCCCACCTCCCACTCCCACTGCTGCCAGTAATTCAGGGATACGACCCACTGGAGGGAGCAGGAAATGTTTTCCATGCTTGCTGCTGTTTTAAGGATGATACTTGCTTCTCATAGGCTTAAGACACAAGGAAATAAATGCTCATTTTTTTTCAGCAAAATCTAAACCACATCACCTTTTTTTACATGGCACTTTAATTCTGTAAAGGAACCATTAATCACTGATGTAATTCTTATACGTTTAATTTTATGATGATAGTAGAGATGAAGTAATGAAAAATTCATGTCTGATACTATAATAAAATCCCCTGGGAAGATATGACTCAGATTTTATTTTAAACTTCATCTTACACGAACTACATATAATCAGATCTGTCTTATTAAATGTAATATTCATAACTTACCACCTTCATCAATATCATCTTTAGCAATACATTGAATAAATCCTCTTCATGACCCCCATCAATTATCTCAAACTTTTCACATTTGTAGGTGTAGGGGCAGAGTAGGATGGGCAAAGAGCAGGTTTTCTAGGATTGGAGCAGACCGGGTAAAGGAGGAGTCCAAGAGCCCTCGGTGGCTTTCTCAGGCTTTTATTGAGCTTTTCATGTAGTGTGGCGAACAGGCACACGTCAGGCAGGCGTGCCGGGGTACCAGGAGGCCAGGAAGCCTCCAAGCCCCCAGCAAGTCTTCAGTCTGGGCTTCTCTCTCTTCTAGCTTGCTTTCGCCCCTTCTCTCTCCTGCTTCTGTCCTGCTTCTCTCAGTGACTTTATCAATACTCCTCCCATGGCCCACAGAAGCAAACAATACAACAATGTAACAACTGCAGGTGTGGGATCAGGCAGGGCAATCCTAATGGTTGAGGCCAGAAAAGCCTGAAAAACCATTTACCCTACAGTAGGCAATTTAATTTTTTATACACTGAAAACTGAAAGTAAAGGGGGATTTTTTTTCACATTAAGTATGAGTCTCATGATCTCAACTACTTTAGGTTCTCTTGGTACTTTGCTCATTAATATAACCCTACCTTAGCCTTAGTTCGCTTAAGGACTGCACCAGACAGGGCAGGATCCCATCTTCTGTCTATTTCCTAACACATCTCATTCCCAGGGTCCAGTGGTCTTAGATCACCAAATATTCCCAGTAGTCAGGAGCACATTAAGTCTGAACAAATCATTACACTTGGGAATAAGAAACAGATGCCCAAAAGACAAAGGTATCTGGAGAAGTTTGTATCAGAGTGAATCACATGGTATCAGACATACTATTACTTCTCTGATGTCTGTCCAGTTAAACTTGAAATGTTCAAGGTCAGGAAATGTTTCACAGCCCAGCATGACACTGAAGCAAAAATGCAAGGGGCAGAACTGAGGTTAAGCACCTGAGCTGCATGAATGAAAGGAAAAGGGCAGGTGTCCAACACAGCTGGGAGCAGTCATCAGGATTTCCTGTTTCCTCTTCCCAGACATTTTGGCAAGCATGCAGGAGCAAACTGGGGATCAGGAATGGGAGTACGTGGCCCTGTCACACTCCCTGCATGAGAAAGCAGCTGCATGCTCAGGCCCTGCATCACACCCTGCCCAGGATAAAAGGGCTCCTGCTCTGGGCTCCCCATGCACAGCCTCCTCTGGAACAGCCTCTCCTGCCTCCTCTGCACCAGGTGAGTATCTACAAGGGTCACAGTCTCAGCTGGGAGTGCTGGGAACACAGCTCAGTCTACTGCAGGGAAGCAGAGGTGTCTGATGGAGAAGAAGCGAGAGGAGGACCTTGGAGGGGAGCTGGGGAAAGTGAACAAGGAACCTGGGTGGGAAGCATCAGAATCTGTGGCACCGGCTCCCACCATGGGCATGTGCCCGGACATCCTCCAGGAGTCACTGCCCAACTGGATATAGTGTTTCCAGGAAGACAGAGAGACAAGGGGACCAGTTAGAAGATAGAAGCATCATTGCCAGAAGGAAGCTAGGTGAGGGAAATGTTTTGCCAGGGCAATTTAACTCGAAGCTGGTTTCCATTTTCCCCCTAAATCACAGCTCAGGAAGCAGCAGGTAGTAGGGACTGGGGCTTTATAAAACCCTTCGCAGAGGAGACACTGATGCGGAGTTCTTGCACTGACCTTTTGCTTTAATCTCTTCAGACTCACCCACCTCCTGCCACGATGTCCTGCCAGCAGAACCAGCAGCAGTGCCAGTCCCCTCCCAAGTGCCCCACACCCAAGTGCCCCCCCAAGAGCCCAGCACAGTGCTTGCCTCCGGCCTCCTCGGGCTGTGCTCTCAGCTCTGGGGACTGCCATGGCCCCAGCTCTGGGACCGGCTGCTGCCTGAACCTCCATGGGAGCCACAGGTCCCATGGGTGCAGGCGCCAGAGCTCTGGCTCCTGTGATGGTGTCAGTGGGCAGCAGTTGGGGGGCTCTGGCTGTGGCTGAGGCTCTGGGGGCTGCTGCTGACCTGGACTCCTGATGCCGAGACAAAGGATCAGAGGAGACAGCTCCAAGGGTGGTCCTCACCGTGTCCTTCACAAGCCCCCACTGCTGTGCCCCCTGCCTGTGCTGAAACATTGCTGGAGTGTATCCAGCTTTCCTCAGTGGCTCCCCTGAGGAGCCCCCAGAATGCACCTTGGTGTCTGTCAGAACTTGGTGTCTGTCAGTATCTGCCCACCCGTGTCATCTCCCGTGTCTGAGCCTGAAAAAATAATTTTTTTTTTGCCCAGCAAAGACTCTCCTTGACGTTGCTGAACCCAGGCTGCTCTGTGTGTCCCGCCTCCCCTGGGCCCTCCAGCACCACCACCTGGCATGCGGAGCAGGTCCTGACTCCAGGCCAGAAAAGAGCCGTCCAATTCCTCTGACAGGGCTGAGATGAGGAGGGATACTGGTTTGAGGCGACACCAGTGTGAGGCCTTATTTGCCATGGTGTGGATACCATCTATGACTCCTGCCCGGAATCTGTGGGAGATGACTACACCCTCAGAATATGGAGGATATTCCGGGACCCCCAGCTAAGAGACGGGGAATGAGGAGGCAAAGAAACTAATAAAGTAATAACCAAAAAATTATTGCGAGATGGGGCTGGAGAGGTAAGGCCCCCGGATGACTACTAACTCAACATCTTTAATAAAGATCTGCAGAGCTCACAGATGCACGGGGGAAATGCAGAGGGGCTTTCTCAGTGTCAGGTGGGAGGAAATTGGGAGGAAAACTAAAAGCATTCCTGGGGCCTCCCTGGTGGTGCAAGGGGTTAGCACCGCACTATGAAGCAGTCCGCAGCCTCTGCAGCATGCATTCGATTCCTGGCTGACCAGGGAGCAGCTCACATGGCGCAGCAGACCTCTCCTGTCTTGATCGCTGCTCCCCTCAGCGGTGTATTTCAGACAGTCTGCCTGTTCTGTTCCCCACTCTGTCTCTGGTGAATCTTCTCACCCCCCGTATCTCTGGCCTATATCATAGCTCTTGTATGCATAAATAAATAAATCTTAAAAAAAAAAAAAAAACACTCGTGTGGTTTTAAAAATGAAGATAATCTTGGGCCTCCCCAGTGGCATAGTGGTTGAGCACTGGGTTGCGAAGCTGCCTGCAGCCTCTGCAGCACCGGTTCGATCCCCGGCTGCTCCCCGACCACCGAAGGAGGGTCCCACATGGCGCGCAGACCTCTCCTGCCACCCGCTGCTCCCCTCAGCAGTGTACTTCGGTCCTTCTGCCTGCTCTGCTCCCCGCTCTGGCTCTGGTGAATTCTCTCACCCTCCCGCGCTTTTGACTGTACCCAGTGCTTGTATAAATAAATAAACAAATAAATAAATAAATAATGAAGATAATCTTAAGATCAAATATTTACTTAGCATTTACTCTGAGTCAGACATGGCTCTCACTGGCAGACGTGTTCGTCCATCAATCCCCCAACAACCCTGGCTTGTGGGTTCTCTTATTAGCTCTGGTTACAGATGGGGACACATAAGTCCCACACATATTCTTGACTTACCACATAACAGTCTGGCTGCTGGATCATCAATACAACTACCACACCATTCTGAATTTTTTCCAAGTAAGTAATAGAATTATTTCTAAATTACTTTTTTCAGCCAGCTCAAAATGTTGAATATAAATTTTTAACACTATACCAAGATTCCAAACCGCTTGAAGTGGTTTCTTAGAAATAGCACCCAATCAGGGGAAAGGAGGTGCTGTCCCTGAGTAGATGAAAATGTAACCATCAGCTGCCACATGTCCTCACCCCTGCTGAAACCCCTATGTTCTATTGATCCAAGAGTGACATTCTTCGTTGCCTGAGAGTTGCTGAGATCATGGTAAAACAAAATGATCACTCAGATCTGAGCCAGGATAGTTCTTAAAATAAAACTATTAATTAAAAACTAAAAAATTAGTAAGACATCATAGATTTCCACCTCTAGGTATATAGCCAAAAGAATTGAAAGCAGGGATTCAAACAGATATTGTACACCCCTAGTCACATTGGTGCCCCATCTGCATAGCAGCACTACTCACAATAGCCAAAGGGGGTTATCAACTCAAATGTCCATCAACAGATGAATGGATAAATGAAATGTAGTGTACATGTAGGTGGAATAGATCTGATCTTAAGAAGGAATGAAATTCAGACTCATGCTACAGCATGGGTGAACCTTAAGAACATTATGCTAAGTTGAATAGCCAGATAAAAAAGGAAAATATTGTATGTTTCCACTAATATGAAATACCTATTAAATGCAGAAAAAAAGAGCCCCAATATACAGTCTTTCCTGCCAGGTACCATGCAGACTAAGCAATTTTTTAAGTTTCAACTTTTCCCCAAGCATGATCCTACCCTGTCAACCTAGAGTTTCCTGGTCAGCACCAGTGAAGTCATCTGCATGCTAAGGGCCCTGCTTCTCCTCTAGGGTGATGTGTCATTGAAGTAGTCTTTTCTTTTGGGCCTCCCTGGTGGTACTGGCAGTTGAGCGCCGCACTGTGAAGCTGTCCTCAGCTGTCCTCAGCTGTCCTCAGCCTCAGCAGCACCGGTTCGATCCCAGCTGGCCGGCGAGGGTCCCACATGGTGCGGCAGACCTCTCCTGTCATGCCTGCTGCTCCCCGCAGCAGTGTATTTCTTCAGCCTGCCTGTTCTGTTCCCCGCTCAATCTCCAGTGAATCCACTCACCCTCCCGCGCCATATGGCCTGTACCCCGGTTCTTGTATAAAAATAAATAAATCTTCAAAAAAAAAGAAATAATCTTTTCTTTTGCTGAGATCCTTGTCCCATCCTCTTTCTGACTATAAATTTTCTCCATTTTTGCATGTGAAGCCCCATGTGGATATTTAATGAGGCAAAATATATCCCCAAATTCATAGATTTTGTTTTTTAATAAATCTAGAGCAGTCCAATTCAGAAAGACAGAAAGTAGAACAGAGGTAGCATGGACTGAGGAGAAGGAAAATGGAGAGCAATTATCGAATTAGTAAGGTTTTTCTCTGGAAAGATGAAAAAGTTCTGGAAATATAGTGGCACTGTGTGCATGATATGATGTGACATGATAAATGTACTTAGCACCACTGGATTGAACACCTAAAAATGGTAAATACGTTTTGCATATTTTACCATAATTTTTTTAAAAAGATAAATTAGAACCTGAGCAAAAGTCAAACTGTCGGGCCTCCCTGGTGGTGCAAGGGGTTAAGAAACACACTATGAAGCAATCAGCAGCCTCTGCAGCACGAGTTCGATCCTCTGCCTGCCAGGGAGCAACCCACATGGCGCAGCAGACCTCTCCTGTCTTGAGGAGACCTGCTCCCCTCAGCAGTGTATTTCAGTCAGTCTACCTGTTCTGTTCCCCATTCTGTCTCTGGTGAATCCTCTCACCCCCCGCATCTCTGTCTCTGGCCTGTACCCCAGCTCTTGTATGCATAAATGAATAAATCTTAAAAAAAAAAAAAAAGTCAAACTGTCACAGGGCCACGTGAGTTCATGGAGCTAAAAGTTTTTTAAAGCCTGTGGGAAGTGGCAAATTAGAAGTCACTTTCCCCTTTCATGTCCATGGGAATTCAGTTCATTACACTCCAGGATCAAGAATGTAACGGAGACCATCTGTCAGATGGGGCCGATGGCAGATCTGCTCTGAAAAATACCTCTCCCTGAGTCTTGAGGAGCATCAGGCAGAGAAGGCACCAAGCACATAGAACCTGGAAGTCAAAGGGCAGGAGCTTGAGTTTTATTCCAAATGCCAGGGTGTTTTAAAGTAGAGGGACAGTGTCTAATCTGACCCAGGCATCACTTACTTGGATAACTATTTCCCACAGGGGGTGTGGGGTTGGGGACAGAAGTGGAAGGAGAAGGAGAGGGGTTAGGGTGGTGGGGTGCTGGCCGTGTGCCTGCTTGCAGAGCCTCACTTTTGCAGCAACCACCCCAGTAGTGATTTGAAGCCAAGTTCTGTCCTGGGTACATCTTTCTTAATCTGAGAAGTTAGGGGGCAAAGAAGGCTTAAAAGTCATTCAGCCTGTATAAAAGCAGCCTGTCAGTCTCAGGGAGGAAATCTGCTTAAATCCTCCAAAGGGTGTTTGTCTCCTACACAATTCAACCCCTAGGGCTGCATTTGTCCTGCCTCCCTCTCTAACCACAATCCCAGCCCCGCCCCTGCCTGCCCGTGCTCTGGGTCATCTGTAGCTCCTGGAGGCCCACACTCTGACTTGTGCAACAGGGTTTAATGTGGAATGCCCTGTGGCCTGGAGAAGATTTACCCATCCTGCTGGACCCAGCCCAAACCCCAACTCTTCCATGAAGTCTCTTCCTCCTGGCCCTCCACACATTCCCCCAATTCCCATGTCAGGTCAGAATCAGTGGGTACATGCACTCCAGTGCCTGTCACTGCTCATCTACCTGCCTTCTCCACTCCTCGTGAACCCTAGGATCTCCATCTGTCACTGCTCTGCCAGACCTTATGCAAACTTGCACTTAGGGTGCTGTGCAGCTTTCTCTAACAGGAGCAAGCATGGAGATAATAGGTGACCAGGTGCAGGCTGGCTTGGGCCCTATGTACTGATTGCTTTGACACCCCAGGAACCACTGTGCCTGATTCCGTCCCCCAGGGACCCAAAAAGACCCTCGCCTGGACGGGATCTGTTCAGAGGCACAGAGCCAAAGAAAGGCCCATACCTGGGCCAAAGACAGTCATCAGTAATCCACGCATGGAAAGGGAGTCAGACAAAACACAACCACAGCTCCACCCACATCAGCTGGGCCCAGATCCCTGCGAGAGTGACCAGAGCCACCCAGCGGCCATCCGATGTTACTGCTTCCCGGTGCCTCCCCAGAGACCGCTTCCAAATCCTGGCCCTGACCCAGCTGACCACATAATTGGTAGCTCCAGGAGGCAAAAGTCGCCCTAGGAAGTTTTTAAAAGGAAACTATAAATAGAATAAAAGCTTAGAATATATATTCAACTTGTTAA